GATTACTTAAATTTGATAAATGTGATAGAGACTACTAACATTGTTAGCGTGAATTGGATTAATATGAACGATACCCAGAACTAACTTTGCCTATACACAATAGAGAAATGTTTAGATTGAACAAGAAAGATAGAGAGAAAGATAGAGATAAGATGAGGAGCGAGGCATTTTTTGTTTGTACAATATAATGAAGATTGCTTAAATTTGATAAATGTGATAGAGAATATTAGAGATTAATATTGTTACTGCGAATTGGATTAATATGAATGATACCCAGAATATCCAGATACTCTATTCAGACACAATATGGATGTATATTTAAAAAAAATAAAAATAAAACATATAATAATATTTAATAATAAAAAGTAATGAACCACTGATACAAAATTTAATTAAAGAGATGGTACTTATTTCTGGAAAAAAAATTAAATTAAATTGCCAGATCTTATTTAACAACTTATATTATTCTGAAAGGGAAAAGAGTTGGTAGAATATATATTATTTATTTATTTACTTACTTTATATTGCTGCCTATTCACCCATGGCGACTTGAGGCGGCTTACACAATGTAAAACCATATTTAAAACAAAAAATAAAAATAAAAAATAAAGAAACAATGAAAACTAACAAAAAAAGAATCAAATTAATAAAGTACAATAGAACGAAATCTGGGGGGAAAAAATCACACACCCACAACTCCTACACCTCCGCCCTGATGACAGCAGATCACACTAACCATTTGATGGGCTCCATCCCACTCTGGGTTCCCCAGGCCCACTGGCAAAAATAGGTCTTCGGTGCTTTTGAAATAGTGCTAGAGGGTGGGCCATTCTAATCTCTGGGGGAATGATATTCCAGAGAGAGGGAGCCACCACGGAGAAGGCCCTTCTTCTGGGTCCCACCAAGTATATCTGCCTCAGGGGTGGGACCCGCAACATTCCCTGCCTCCCTGCTCTAATGGGTTGGGTAGATATGACCGGCAAGAGACATTCCCTCAGATAACCCAGTCCCAAGCCATGAAGGGCTTTAAAGGTGACAACCAGCACCTTGAATTGCACCCAGAAGCAAATTGGCAACCAATGCAGCTTCTGCAGGAGAGGTGACACATGTGCACACCGGGATCTGCACAAAACCATGTGGGCCACTGCATTTTGCACCAACTGGAGCTTCTGGATGCTCTTCAAGGGCAGCCCCATGTAGAGTGCATTGCAATAATCAAGGCGGGAAATGACCAGGGAATGAGTGACTGTGAGTAGGGACCATTGCAGGAAAGTGCATAACTGGTTCATAACCTGCAGTTGTGCAAAGGCCCTCCTGGCCACAACTGCCACCTGCTCTTCGAGCAGGAGTCGTGAGTCCAGGAAAATACCCTAACCCTGCCACCCCATCCAAGACCAAAGGTGGCAATTCTCCCTGAGCTATCGAACCCCAAACCCAGAGCCACTTGGTTTTGCAAGAGTTTAGTTTCAACCCGTTGCTCCCCATGCAGCCCCTAACAGCCTCCAGGCACTGCGAGAGGGAAGACACAGCAACACTTAACTTACCATGGGCCGAGACATACAGCTGAGTATCATCAGCATATTGGTGATACCTCAGTCCATGGTGACAGATGATCTCACCCAACAGCTTCATATAAATGTTGAACAGGAGCGGAGAGAATACCAAGCCCTGCTTTGTATATACTTTGTAGTTTCATGTTTTATCTCTTATACCATATAAAGAATCTATATGATATCTAAAAGCCAACTTGATCTAATGATTGAAGTCACTGAATTAGAAATCAGGAGTCTATATTGTATGTTTTAGTCCTGCCTTAGGCATAAAGCCATAGATGACTTTGATTCAATTGCTCTCTCAGTCTTAGGAAGGTAACTGCAAACCTCTTATGAAATACTGTATTTTGCCAAGAACAAGAATCAAGATTGGCTTGAAGATATATAAAGATATCTTTATTTTCAGGCTCCAACTATAGAACAATAAAAGCTCAATTCAAAATATTCTGAGGCAAGATCTTGAGAGATTTGGGGAAAAAACATTCCCTTGATTTTTTACCAAATAAACTTTGTGTAACCCTATGAACTACTATTTCAACCTGGGAATATTGTGTAATCTTTACTGTGGGACTTCAGTTGATATTTCTTCATTAGAGTACTCTCTAATAGGAATGTCTTGTGAATCGAAATAAGGGAAACATTTTATGATAGATTCCATTATAACAAGAAAATGAATCATTTTTTTTACTATAAATGGTATTTCTTGAAAAAACATTCCATCCCAATTTGTTTAAGCACAGTTATAACTGTTAATAACACATCAGAATAATCTATTAAAATTAATCCCGGATTGCTCTTTAGGTCCTAAAAGAATACCTGAAAATCTTTGAAGAATGATTTCCAAACTTCCACGAGGAGTGAAATAAAACCAATACAAGGATGCCGGGTCTTGCTGATGAATAAATAAGATTTGTTGTGCTCCGATATGTTCTGCAGTTTTATTAGACACTTCTGAAACACCACTAGAAAAGTTTTCTTTTGAAAAAGGATTGTTTCCAATTTTGTTCTTTTTTTAGGCTTTATTCATTCATAACACATTTAAATATATATTGGCCTCTTTAGTTAAAATTGCATTTTCAAATGGTTCCTGTAAATGAAACAACAAATAAAAAAATCTGATATAAAATATTTAAAATGAGTGAAGACCATCTAAAACAGGGCTCCCAAACTTGGCAACTTTAAGACTTGTGGACTTCAACTCCCAGAATTCTGAGAATTGAACTTCACAAGTCTTAAAGTTGCCAAGTTTGGAAACTTCTGATCTAAAACTAGCATGTTGGTTTGGCAGAACAGTCCTAATGTTATTCATTGGGCCCTGATTATGGAATGGGTATTATGTCAACAGCAGATTGGCAGGGAAGAATCAGTCCTTGTATGCGTGCTTGTGTTTAGGAGGAAAAAGAATCCTCCATAGTAAGAATTGGAACAATTAAATTTAGATTATTTCTGAGCTCATTTAAGTATTTTAAATATTAAGGGTCATGGAGGTGGACCAAACATACTTGGGATGTAGTAATGGTAGCTTCAGAGGACAGCAAACAGTTATGGCAGTCTCTGATTTTCTTCTCTTAAATTGGTATTACTTCAGTCTGACAAGGGAACAATTAATATATGCTATAATTCCTGAAGCCAATGATAGAAATATGACCTACAGGGTTCTTTAAAAGCAGATCTAAAAAGTACTATACTCTTGCCTTATAAAATTTTACTATTTAGTACGAAGACTCCATTAGTTTTAAGAAGGGATATTTTGGCTGCTATGGGTAAATTATTTCCCATTCAGTCATATTTTTGTTAATCATTTGAAATTATTATTGTTACAACTATTGTTATCCAATTATATTGTCTAAAATCTGATTAATATGATTCTGGCCTAATCCAGCCAAAATTAAGAATGTTGAATACACTTAGATACATAATAAAGAATTAAAATATATCTCTTTATATTTAGTCTAGCATTTTAAAAAGGGATTGACAAATTTCCTTTTTCCCACATCATTTATATATAGAGAAATATTTATTTATTTTTATCTTTATTTATTTTGTCAGTCAGTCAGTCAATCAATTCCTGTAGTCCCCCAATTCACCAATTTACTCTGGGTAGTTTAAACTTCTAAAAAATTCTAAAATTATGCAATAACAAGTTATTCTGCCTATTACACAGCTGTTAGGTCTTCTTTCTTTACCTTTGTTTCATCATCAGAGGAAATGGGAAATTGATTTTTAAGTTTGATTTCAGCTATAATATAAAGTTAAAAAATGTTCTAGATACAACATTATTTTTGGAAAATGATTGAAGAAAACAAGAGAAGTATATTTAAACTAAACTTGTAAATACACTATGAATCAATTCATTATAAACCATTTAAAAATTAGGACTTCTCAAACAGTTAAACACGCATATACACATCATATACATATACACATATCTGTCTGCCTATCTGCCTATTTATCTGCCTATCTATCTGCCTCTCTCTCTCTCCCCCCCCCCCCCCCCCCCCCCCCCACTTACCTACCTACCTATTCTGTAGTTATTGGGTTAATATCACGTAAAGGATTACTCAACTGTAATGCATTTATTGTTGAAATTTAATGATATAAATACCATTATGCCTCCAAAGGAATAAATGGAGACAATTACATTCAGATTTTGTTGTTACCTGTGGAATAAGATTTTTCATAATATTCCTTTTGGGTATATTTCTGTATTTGTATATGAACAAGTTAAATTCTCCCCGTCCCCCATGCATTATAAAAAAGGAAGGAAATGTTTTTACATACTAGTGACAACTAAAACACTGAAGAATTTGTTTTTCACTTTCAGTTAACACAATATAAATGTGTGCAGAAATCAGAGACAATTTTGTTAAATAATTTCAATAATTAAGAATTTTAGTGTGCTCTTTGCCTAATGAGCAACCTTTACCTTCTTCTCATTATTGATTAGTGGAAGGGTCTGTGATCTTTTGAAAGAGCCTTCTTACACCTGAGTGGAGCATTGGCAGCTGAATAAGACTGTACTACTGTTAATGTTCTCCCGCATCCACTGAGAACTCCACGTGCAAAAAGTAACAAAACTGGTGGTAACAAAATGAAGGATCCCAAATGGCATGTTATGTGTAGATGTTTGTGTCATCTCTGTTAAATCAAATTACTTCAGCTTTAGTCTTCTCAAGGGAAACTTCACTTGTGCCATTGCTTTCATTGGGGACACTTAATAAAATCTATCAGAAAAAAGCCTTCCCCTTCCTTGCTACTACCAACACTAATTTCCAACCTTTGTGGCTGAAAATAGTAGGACTTTGGAAGTGATAAAATATCTGTTGTAGAAATCCTTATGGACCCCTGTAGCCTCTGCAACTGAGTAAGAACTCTGGGAACTAACTGAAGGAACTCGACTGCTTATAATCTTTCCTAGGAAATAATTGCTGTTTGTTATACTTAAAGCGCAGGGAAAGAGGTATCTATAGAAGAAAAGCAGCAATTGCCTGATTCTGCAAAAGATGAGGAAAAAATATTGCCAGTGATTTTAGATAAACATGTAGAAATGCTTCCACCAGACTCAAAAAGCCTGAGAGAAGAAATTACTATATCTCCTCAAGAACATATACCAAGTACTAAACAGAAAACTTTGCGAGTTACTCCAGAATTCAAAATGAAGGATACAGCTGAAGTTAAGGTAATTATAGGAGACTTTGCAAAAAAAGACTTTCAGTTGTTATTTTACCAAGATGTAACATAAGGACCAGTGCCACTGTCTCCATACATAAGTTTGTACAAGTATAACTGAAACATTGCAAAGTATTGGTGAAAGATCAGGAATTATACAAATTATTTCAGATTAGTTTATATGACAAAGCAGACACATGAAAATTGGGATATTTCAGCAATAATTTAAGCATTAGGTACTTGTGATAATTTTATAATATCTCTTTTAAAAAAAGGAGTAGAGCATAGATGGAGGTGAGCATTATGTGTTTTCCTGTTACTATTATTCTGATCTAACCCTTTACATCAGGGGTATCAAACTCAAGGGCCGCAGGCTGCATCCGACCTGTGGGGTGCTTAAACCCAGCCCATGGGGCTGGCCCGGAAATATCAAGGGACTGGCCTGTGGTGCCTCTGGTGATTAAAAAGGTACTCCCCCCATGCCTTGTGTCACTCTCCATGGCCTCCTGCAGCACTCTGCTGACTGAAAACGGGCCCAAAACACGGAATGAAAACGGCCAGAAAATTACCCGAAAATGGGCCGCATGGCCCATTTGTGGCCGGCAGAATGCTGCAGGAGGCAATGGAGAGCAAAAATGAGGCATGGGGGGTGGGCCCGCCCATGTGTGAACCCCTGCACCCTGTTTTGGCTGGCAGGGTGTGCTGCAGGAGACATCCATCTCTTCAGTTCTCATCATCTTGGCACTGCTCTATCTTATTTTTCTGTACATTTCAGTACCTGATATGTATCTTAAGCCAGGAGCTGGTATGTCCAGGGGTCACAGATCTGTAAAACATGGCTATACTTTAAAATAAAGGCAAATGAGCAAAGAATATAGTATACAAGCTATATATGCTAGTCTATATTTTGGAAAGTTACAACTTCTTATATTGTATTTAGTTATTACTTTATTGGGTCAAACTTAGTTAACTCTTTATGCTTCTATTTTGATAATAACTTGAAACCATCTCCTGCATACATAATAGTGACAATCTGTCTGCAGAACCCATGTAAGAATTTTCTGGAGCACTAAAGCCTTTTTTTTGCATGAAACATACATAAACATTAGCATGCATACTTCTGAGTGGAGTTTCTGCTAATTTCCTGCATTAGCTTTAATATCTGGGTACATCTCAGTGAAACCTTGTTCCATTATTTTTCATTAATGGAGTACCTTTCTTCAAATTTTAAACTTTAATCTACATTTTTCCTTATATTATTATTATGAAGGATAGTAAGATTAAAAGTATCCTTTAGAATGTTTATTACACGTAGAGGAAAATTATCAGCAATCAGATTGGCCTTCGTCACGTGCTATTTTATTTTATTTATTTTTCAGATTTCTAACTGCCCTTTCTACACATTGTTAGTGCATCACAAAGGTTTATTTCTTAACCTCTGCTTTCTCTTTAGATCAGGAGTGTCAAACTCAATTTCATTGAGGGCAGCATAGTGGCTGCCCATAGGGGGGGGCCTGGTGGGCATGGCCAGTTGGTTGTGATCCATTGGGTGGACGTGGCCAGATTGGACATGGCCCACTTGACGTAGCTTGCATCGGGGGGCTCTGTGGGGGATTGGGCAGGGCTTAGGGGGATAGAGGGGTCTCCGGCAGAAAGGGGCGGGACCAGGCCAGGTGCCAATGCCTGATCCACTGGAGGAACAAAGACAGGTTGTTGCGAGGCAGCCCAACTGGTAGCCATCATTGCCAAGCTGTGACCTCCACACGCTCTGTCTCCGCCATCAAACCTCATTCTTCAGCAAACGTACTACTCATTTGAAATGGTCCCAAAGAACAGAAAATTGGAGAGCCCCCTATCCCCAAGAGGCAGCTGGGCGTCTGCAGCATAGGTGGGTCCATGCCCCGCAACCGCCGGACTGATGCTCCAAGAAGCAGGCGGAGGCATCCGATCACAGCTGCCAAATGCCCAGGAGGCCATGCGGCCAACAGATGAGCAGAACCTGCTCAGTACCAGCCACAATAGCCACGGGCAAAGACAAATTGTGGGGTTGCAATGAGGCAGCCCAGCAAGTCACCACAAGTTGCAGCCCCTGTGCACTTGGCCCCCTCCCTCAAACCTCATCCTCCAGCGAGCCTGCCACCCCCCCCAACCCCAATGGCTCTGGCAATATGAAGGGTAGGGAGCAGGCTTGCTGGAGGATGAAGTTTGAGGGAGGAGGACAAGTGCACAGGGGCTACAGCGTGGCAGTGACCGGCTAGGCTGCCTCACTGCAACTCCACAATCTGTCTTTGCCTGTGGCCACCATGGCTGGAACAGAGCAGGCGGCTGCACATCTGGCAGGTCTCACAGCTGCCTCAGGGATGGGGGCTCCCCACCTTTTTCGTTTGCTGGGGCCTTCGTGAGTGGGGCAGTGGGTGAAAGACTGGTTCTACATGTGCAGCGGAGTTAGACGAAGTTGGATGGCTCCATCCACGCCCTGCCATCTGCCTCCCTTGCCTCGTGGCAACAGCAGCAGGTAAAGGTAAAGGCATGGGAGGAGGCAGGCAATCTATCCCGCCAGATACACATGCTCACTGCCTCCTCTGCTCTTCGAGGGTGTCTGGCAGGGACAGCCAATCCCTCACTGTCTCTGGGGTGGCCTTGTCTTTGTCATGTCTAGTTGAAGGCTTTGTTCCTGCCCTCAAACAAGACAGGTGCATGTGAGCAAGCAGTGAACCCAAGCTATGGACAGTATTGTTTTCTGCACCCAGCCTTAGTTCTGATCTACAGGGCTGCCCTGCCACCTTGGTCCCATCCCTTGGGTTCGCACACAGGAGACAGCGAGCATGTGAGCATGCAAGTGCTGGAGTCCTCAGTGAAAGTGAAGCGCTCAGACCGTAGTCAGCCTGCGGGGCAACATGGTCCCCACGGACGCCAGGCCCCATGTTCTCTTGCCCAGGGGACGGCTGAGGTGGCTCATGGGCTCCAGTGTGACCCTGTGGATCTACGGGTGACTGCGTTCTGGCCCAGATGGCTGCCAGCAGGTTGTAGATTGGCATCCAGTCAGCCTGGGCCGGGCTGAGGCACAACGGGCCAGTCCTTTACTGCTTCCAGGGCAGCCCCACGGCCAGATATAACCACTTCGCGGGCCAGATTCTTGAATTTGACACCCCTGCTTTAGATAAATCTTCAGTCTTTTACAATTATTTGTCCCTCTTAAAAATATTTCTGTAGGAATAATTTTGTGGTCATGCCTCTGATTTCCTGTTTGCAGTTAATACCCATTATCTTTGAAAATATATTGCAGTAATTTTACAGTTAAGATGGTAGTAGTATTCATAGCTTGCATTCCTAGTCTGGACTTTCTTGAAGGGCCGACATCAGATAGATTCAGTTGCACTTGGGTTTTTTTCTAGACTTGTGATTCCTTCTTGAGGAGTCATGGCTAGAAGAGCATTTGCACAGTTTTGTGTTGTGTGCCAGTTGCCCTCTTTCCTGAATCAAGAGTCCCTGGGCTTATTTACTGAAACCCTGGTCATGTCATTCTTGGACTATTTCAACATGCATTAAAGGGGGGAACTCTTAAAAAATATTTGGAAACTACAGCTGGTGCAGGATGAAGTTACACAGACAATTCTGGGGCTTTTAGGATGGCCCATGTTACACCGCTGTTCCATGCCAGTTTGCTTCCAGGTTCACTTCTTTGATTTCTACTTCTTGGCTACTGAGGTATATGCTTGCAGAATTGATTACACTATCTCTTCACAGATGCAACAGTACATTCAAAAATTGTTTTTGAATTTAATATTAATCAATTCATATTTTTGGTAACTTGTATCTTGCCTATAAATTAATATACAGAACTCTCTATTCATATTTTATTCCATTTCACAAAGAATAGACAGAAAACAAGAAAATAATCATTAAATTGTGACTAGAGTACATGAAAAGACTAATATCTTTTCAGTAAAGTACATTACAAAAAAGCATGTAATATTCTATTTATTATTTTTTTAAATTATTTTCAATAGCCTTTAACATTGCAAAAAGAAATTCCAAGACTTGACATAGACTCGGTAGAACTTAAAAAAGGTAATTATTGTTCTCATTTTGTTATTTTACTCTTAAAAATGAAAAAGCATGCAAAATATCCTATTTAGTGTCAGTGGTGGGATTCAAATATTGTTGCCACTGGTTCGGTGGGCGTGGCTTGGTGGGCATGCTTTGTGTGCGTGCACACACTTTGCATGCATGTGCGACCAAATGTGCACTTTGCGCAGGCGCAGAGGCGTTTGCGCAGGCGCAAAAGGTGTTCTAACTCAGCTCCTGCAAGCTTACACAATCCCAGTCGCTTTAGCAGCTGCCGCGTGGCACTATTCTGTGCCGCACAATGCAGCTGCACTTCAAATTCAGCAGATAAAGGTGAGTATGGGAGCCCAGGTAGGAGGATGGGCCCAACAGCAGAGCAGTGGAGAGAACTGGTTCAGTCTCCGCTGCTCATCACTCCTACCGGCTCTCCAGAACCGGGCAGAGCTGGTCGAATACCACCACTGTGTAGTGTTCCTCAAAAACAGAAATCTTACGATACAATCCTAGTATAATAATTCCAAAATATATTTTTAAAACTATAATTTATTTATGGATAAATTGTAAAGGTGACTTTTGAAGGTGTGCATTATAAATGGTTAAAAATCTATATGATCCTCAGCCCCATTAAGTAAAATATTTATTTCACTGTATGGATAAAACATTATCCAATCCCAATCCAAAAATAAATTCCATAAGGACAGGAAGTATTCTATTCTTTTCTGCCATGTATTCTTGTTCTTAAATTGATATTCTTCAGTTGTGCAATGACTGCCAGGTAACATAATTTTACACAGACATTTGTGGGCATCTGTTGTGTGTGTATAAACACAATTATATACAAACACAATATAATTAAAATGGATCTCAAATATAACAATGCTTAAATATTTCTTAAAACTTAGACAGCATGGTTTTAGTGATCTTTATGCCTTGTGTTATAATATGTTAAAAAGTATTTTGATTTTATAGACGAAATTACAGAGGAGGAAAGTCACCACTTGATCAGTAAAAGCATGCTTCAGTTAAAAGATCATTTGACTAAACTAAAGGGAATGCCTGAAGCTGAAACTTTAGCGAAACTCTTGCTTGAGTCTGGCAAAGGTAAGTATCATTGAAACGTGAGAGCAGAACATAATGCATTCTTTGCTGGATGTCTTCAAGATCATATTCTATGTAGATCTAAAGTTTCAGTAAGATATCTTAAAAAAATGAAATCAGAAATAGTTAAGAAAGATAAACCCTATGATTTACAAAAGGGATGCTAGAGTTTTTACTAGTTATTTTTAACTTGGTTAATTTAAAGTAATTGGTTTTTTGCCATAGTTTAATCCGGGTGTCAGCAACCCGCGGCTCTGGAGCCACATGCTGCTCTTTGGACCCTCTGCCGTGGCTCCCACTCTTATCATTGGCTGGCCCCGCCCCTCATCCTCCCCTCCCTCGCCTAATCTGAGAAGATAAGGGCAATGGTGGGGGATAGAGAAGCGGCCGCGGCTAATTCTCTGGTGCCTCACTCTTTCTGGAGCTTCTTCCGGCCTTTGTTAGTGCTGGGCGTATCTCAGTCGCTTGGGGAGATGCGCAACCTGCTCTCTGCCCTGAGACGCTCACCCATCAGCCAGTCTCCCACTGTCTCTGTATCTGTGTCTCTCTCTGTGTGTGCGCCTGCATATATATCTCTCTCTCTCTGCTGTATTACTTGAGATCCTGTATTACTTGGGAGCTGTAGCGGTGGCTTCCCTCCTCCTCCTCCCCGTCCTCCTCTTGTGCCCCCCTGGCTGGCTGTGGCAGGGTAGGGTGCACATGTGTGGGGAGACCCTCAAGCAAGCAACCAGGCTTGGCCAAAGTGCAGCAAGTCTCCCCACATATGCACACTCTCCCAGCCCTGCCACAGCTGGCCAGGGGGTCACGAGAGAAGAAGGAGGGGGAGGGAGAGGGGAAAGAGATACAGAGAGAGGGGGAAGATGGGGGGGAGAGAGAGACATAGATGGAGAGGGAGAGAAATAGAGAGAGGGGGGAGAGAGGGGAGAGAGAGAGGGAGAGAAGAGTTTTGTGGTTCCCGGTTCTCTGTCCTAATGGTGGTTAGTCATGGTTGGATGGGTGTCATGTGACTGGGTGGGAGAGAGTGACATCAAGTTGGCCATACCTACCCAGGTGTTTTTTTTTCTGTGAGAAACAAGCCTAAATGGCTCTTTGAGTGTTTAAGGTTGCAGACTCCTGGTCTAATCAAAGTGTGTATGTATGTATTATACATACATACATACATACATACATACATACATACATACATACATACATACATACATACATATATATACATACTCATATATATACAGCTGTGTGAAAAAGTCCTGCATGTTTTACGGTTTACAGTTTATGGCATTTTTTGGATAGGCCATTGATGTTATGATATTTTATGCTAACTACTATGCAAATATTGCTATATTTAAATAAATACTAGTGGTTTTTAAGTGAAAAGCATAAACTTTTTGCAATTTGGTGCTGTTTGGATGGGGATTGTGAATTTTCTTGCATGCTTACAATGCATGCTTATAATGACTATGAAAACAAAATAACTGATGCATACCCAGTGGCATACGTGTTTCAATTACTAAGGCCGATGCTTGGGTTTTGTTAACATTTTTGTTGTTTGTGGGTTACTAATATGAAATTGGCCAGCCCTTATTGCTTATCACCAGGCAGCATCGCTTCGGCATAGACTATGTAAGCCTTTGCATGTGATCTTTGGTGACAACGTGGAACCAGGCTGCAATAATGGATTCAATCAGCTCCTGCTTGGTCTTCGGATGCTTCTTGCTTATTTCGTAACCAATCTTGGCCTACAAGTTCTCAATTGGGTTCAAATCTGGGCTCTGATCTGGCCAATCCAGGAATCGAACACCATGCTTCTTCATCCACTGCTGGATGGACTTGGCTCGATGACAAGGAGCGTTGTCATTCTGGAAGTAAAAGTCCTTTCCTACAAGTTGCTGAGCTGAAGGAATCATGGTCTTTTCCAGAACTTCAACATACTGCTTGGAATTCATGATTCCCTTCACAATTTGTATCCAACTAATACCAGAAGCAGCGATACAGGCCCAGATCTTCACGTGCAATGGATGCTTCACACATAGATTCAGGCAGTACGGCCTAAATTCTTCAGCTGGAAATCTTCTGACATACTTATTGCACTGATTCCTAGTCAAGTAGAAATTGCTCTCGTCACTGAAGATGACTTTGGCCCACTGTTCGTTGGTCCACTTGACATACTTCTTGGCCCATGCACGTCAACGAGAGCGGTAAGCGTCTTTGAGCAAAGGTTTACTTCGAACCCTACAGCCTTTGAGCCCTCTGGCAAGCAGTCTGTGACGCACTGTACTTGTCCACACTTTTACATCACATGTTTCACCCCAAATTCTTGTAATCTGAGGTGAGGTGAACTTCCTGTCAGCCATAGAAATGCGTTGCAGAGCCCGATCTTGCTGTTTTGTCGACTTTCTTGGTCTTCCAGAGTGGAGCCTGTCATCAACTGAACCAGTTATTTGGTGTTTTTCAACCATTCTGCTCACTGTGGTGCGATGGCATTTCACTCTCTTGGCTATTTCTGTACAGGAGTAACCCTCTTCATGAAGCACAAAGATGCAATGCTGCTGCTCAGTACTGGTGAAAGCAAAGGCCTTCATCCTTGCCTGCAGCCAGAGCTAAATTAAATTTCTTGATGCTTTTCATGCCTATTTATAGTCAGAGAATATGACAACAATGATTGGCTCATAAATTTAGCCTCTGTGCATTTTGATTGATCAGCCAAAGCTCGCTGCTGATTGGCTACTTTTGATCATAACATTCTCGAAAATGCAAGTTGTGTTTGTTTTAGCACATAAACTCACTCAAAAGCTTAAAAAGACTTTGGTTATTTTAATAAAAATTATGCATCTCAATCCGACTACAGAAATTTTGCATGATTTCTATGAGTGAAAAATTAATTAAACATGTAAATACAGCTTAAAACTGAAAATGTGCAGGACTTTTTCATACAGCTGTACATACACACACACACACACACACACACATATACATACATGCAGTGGGGGGGAACTATTTGATCCCCTGATTTTGTACGTTTGCTCACTGACAAAGAAATAATCTGTAATTTTAGTGGTAGGTTTATTTTAACAGTGAGAGAATAACAACATTTCAAAAAAATTATAAATTGATTTGCATTTTAATGAGTGAAATAAGTATTTGACACCTTCGCAAAACATAACTTAATACTTGGTGGCAAAACCCTTGTTGGCAATCACAGAGGTCAGACATTTCTTGAACTTGGCCACTAGGCTTACACACATCTCAGGATTTTGTTCCACTCCTCTTTGAAGATCCTCTCCCAGTCATTAAGATTTCGCGGCTGGCATTTGGCAGCTTGAACCTGCAGCTTCTGCCACAGATTTTCTATGGGATTAAGGTCTGGAAATTGACCAGGCCACTCTAGGACTTTAATGTGCTTCTTCTTGAGCCAGTCCTTTGTTCCTTTGGCCGTGTGTTGTGGGTCATTGTCATGCTGGAATACCCATCCATGATCCATTTTCAATGCCCTGGCTAAGGGAAGGAGGTTCTTACTGAAGATACGATGGTACAGGACCCCATCCATCATCCCTTTGATATGGTGAAGTTGTCCTATCCCCTTAGCAGAAAAACACCCCCAAAGCATAATGTTTCCACCTCCATGTTTGACAGTGGGTATGGTGTACTTGGGGTCATAGGCAGCATTCCTCCTCCTCCAAACATGGCAAGTTGAGTTGATGTCAAAGAGCTTGATTTTGGGCACATCTGACCACAAGACTTGCACCCAGTTCTTCTCGGAATCATTCAGATGTTTATTGGCAAACTTCAGACAGGCCTGTACATGTGCTTTCTTGAGTAAGGGGAACTTGTGGGTGCTGCGGGATTTCACTCCTTCACGGCGTAGTGTGTTACCAATTGTTTCCTTGGTAACTATGATCCCAGCTGCTTTGAGAATATTACAAGATCCTCCCATGTAGTTCTGATCTGATTCATCACCGTTCTCATGATTATTGAACCTCCACAAGGTGAGATCTTGCATGGCGCACCAGACTGAGGAAGATTGACACTTATTTTGTGTTTCTTCCATTTGCAAATAATCACACCGGTTGTTGTCACCTTCTCACCAAGCTGCTTGGCGATAGTCTTGTAGCCCATTCCAGCCTTGTGTAGATCTAAGATCTTGTCCCTGACATCCTTGGACAGTTCTTTGGCCTTAGCCATGGTGGAGAGTTTGGAATCTAATTGCTTGCTTTCTTGTGTGGACAGGTGTCTTTTATACAGGTAAAAAGATGAGATTAGGAGCACTCCTTTTAAGGAAGTGCCCCTAATCTGAGCTCTTTTTTACCTGTATAAAAGACTCCTGGGAGCCAGAAATATTGCCGATTGATAGGAGATCAAATATTTATTTCATTCATTAAAATGCAAATCAATTTATACTTTTTTTGAAATGCGTTTCTGGATTTTTTTTGTTGCTATTCTTTCATTCACTGTTAAAATAAACCTACCATTGAAATTACAGACTGATTATTTCTTTGTTGAGGCAAACATACAAAATTAGCAGGGGATCAAATACTTCTCCCCACTGTATATATATACATACATATACATACATTACATACATATACACACCCACACACGCACACACACATACACCCACACACTCTTTGTTTAGACTATGGCAAAAACTCAATGACTTTCAAAATTGGCGCTATAGATACTGTATTTTAATAGCTCAACTACTTTTTAATTTATCACAAGTATAGCATAAATATTTTTTCTAATATATGAAAAAATATGTATATATAAATTATAGGGTTATAATGGAAATACTAAAGTGCCATATATTTTCCATAGAATAGTTGATTTATCTATTTATCATTATTGCTCTGCTATTAATCTAGAAAAAACTATGCAGGCATTTGATTCACCAATTTCTAGCAGTGATTCTTAGCATTCATCTAAATTTCTGTACTAATATGCAGAGAATGATTGCCATGATCAGTCTATGGGATTTTAAGGAATGTAAATGGCCAATACTTTTTAGCCCTTCAGGGACTTTATCATGGATACAGAATTGCAAATATATGGTAAATACCCATCACGCCATTCCCTTTCAGAATAAGAATCTGCAGAAAAGGATTAAGGAATAAAAAAATAAACTAAAATAACACAAGTCATGAGTTAAGGATGAGAGTCAGAAATGTTGCTAAATCTACTTTATACCAATACTATTTGGCTTTATCTTTCCATTTTTAAAAATCAGCATTGCTGTCATAGTGTGTATATCTTATTCTATATATTGCTTACTATTTGTTGAATTCAGGAGCTCATTGATTTGATCCAAAGCACAATTTTCTGATCTTTGCCTTCCTTTGAATCCTTCTTCAATCTTCCTTCACATATTGTTTGATCCTCATTCATTCTCCTATATTACCAAGCCACCTGAGCTTATTTCTTTCCTACTGGTCATTATTTATTCATTTCTTTCATTCATTATTTCACCATACATCCTTTTTATACATGCTACTACTAAAAGTCTATATATTTCCCTGGCAGTCTCTAACAGAATTCTTTTCACTCTGTTCCAAACATTTTTCTTGTCCTCTTCCTATTTGTTCTGTTGGGAGATTAATTTATCTTCAAGTATTTTAAACTATAGGATTTACTTTGTCTTGCTATAATTGTTTCATTTATCTTTCATTTCTTTTTCTTCCATATCTTTTGTTTACAGATTCCACTCTTTACAATACCACATTTCTTTTTTCCTCTTAATTTTGTAGATACACACTATATCTATTTTATTTATTTCATTTCATTTCTTGTAGTAATACATATTTTCTCCTTTAATTCTAACTTTTAATCTTCCATATACTGTAGTCATCACTAGATGGGCTCACATATTTTGATCTTTGTTATCTATCATGTCCTTGGTCAACTGAGGACTTCACATAATACTTCTTAATAAAATATAGTTTAAGTTACTTGCCTTAGTTACAGCCTAGCATAACATTCCTTACTAATCACACGGTAATACCATTTGAGGTACAATTTGGTCAGTAAGCAATAAGCACTATCATATCAAAGTTTTATGCCAAGCCTAAATCTCTAATCAAGAGAATATTTTTCCATATTCTGAATTAAACAAACAATACAATTTCAATTGAATCTTACTATGCTTGGAACCTGTTGTTGTTATAAAGAATAGTTGTGGTTGTAGTGCAAAATATTAGATAAAAAGGGTATGTAAATATGATTTTGAAAGAAAGTATAATTGCACAGAAATATAAGCACTTTGCTCTGGACAGTTTCCTCTTAAAAAAAATCCATAATTTTATTACCAGTATCCCAGACAACTCTCCTGAATAGAAATATAGGAGCAAGCACAAGGATGGGTTAGGAGTGGCTATTTTATCTCAAAATATATTTAGTTTTCTAATATTATTAGCTTGATCTAAATGATCAAACATTGATTCCATAAATTATATTGCTAATAAAACTCTAACTTGTATTTTTTAAATGAGATAGAAAAATTACCAGAGAGACAAAAACTTGAGTTACTTCAAATGCTAAATCAACTGGTAACTCCAGATGAAATGCAGCAAGCTGGTAAGTGCTAAATTAGGAATGATGATATGTAATTATCATCTATCAAAATATTTCACATCTACTGTATATCTTTATATTCACATTTTTAAATATATTACTTCTTGGGATTATACATTCTTGGTTCATCTGTGGTGGAGATATATAGGTAAGTATCATCAGTTTATTGATGATACTGTACCCCATGCCTTTTGATTATATATTCTAGAGGTGTCATAAGGAACAAAAGACTGGAGCACTGAGCAGCCCACATTGAAGGATCTAGGGCTTGACCTCTCATCCCTCAGCAACTCCAACTAGAATCTGCCACAAAGGCAGGAGAACCATTATAGTACAGTGTATAGTATAGTATAGTACAGTACAGTACAGTACAGTACAGTACAGTATAGTATAGTACAGTACATTATAGTTCCACTCCCACTCTTGAAAGCCATTCCAGAAGGGAGGTCATTGTTGGTGATATTGAATGCTGTTGAGAGATCTAGGAGGGCCAGCACCATTCACATTCTGGACTTCCATAGATTACCCACAAGTGCTGTCCTAGTGCTTTAACCCCAGCTGAATTCTGACTGAAAAGTTAATATAGATATAATCCACTTCATCTAGGGCCATGGACCCCCTAGATATCTACTATCCATAACAACCTTATGTAACAAGAGGAGGGTTAGAGATTGGACAAAGTCATCTAATATGATTGAATCTAAGGATAGTCTGTAAAGAAGGGTGTATATCATACGTCCTGCAAGGGAAGTGGTCCCAATATTTCCTACAAAAAGTCATTAATCACCATTTTTGTTTACGCAATCTCACAAGAGGCCTTAACCAATCTGAAAGGGGATGGGTCTAGCAGAACTTGCGTCTCCAAGGATCCTGTATTACTTGGGAGCATCTGGCTCAAATTATTTCCAGTTAATAAAGCCAGACCTATTTCAGTTCCATAGGACTTGCCCAGTCAATGTCCAACTCTAAGCGAAATAAAATGACTTTATTCAACACATGTCAAGAAGATCACAATGACCTAATAAGGGCTTTCCCAGTCTCTTCTTAACCCAGAAGAGACCTGGTCATTTAAATAGGGCTGCTCACTGTTTATATGCAGATGCAATAAAAGTAAAGAAATAAGTGGAGTGTATCACTCTTATTGCCACAAGGTAAATCTTAATGAAGGCTCCCACATACGCTTTGTTGGCTTTACCCCTTTGCCTTTTGCCAGTGGAGTTCTAGGCATCTCCTAAGATCTCAGTTCTACAGGATCCACATTCACAGAGAGTCTACAGAGGCATGATCCAGTTTGGACCCCGTATTGTATGTTCATTGCAAGCTGCCCCAAAATCCAAAGCATTGAGGGATAAAAACATGCATCGGAGGTGATCAAATAGACTGCACCTCCTGCAATGGGGCTTTGGCCCAGAGACCAACATAAGATTCTTAATACACTTCTTTCATCTGGTGAGAAAAGAGGAAATACCCTATTTAAAATAATAATTTATCTCGTTTTTTTTAATGCATATAGGTGAAAGAGAGGAAGATGAAAGAAAAAGAACTTTGCTTGCAAATATAGTATCGGTTGTTAGACCTTTATTGCAAGAGCAGTCTCCTAAAGCTGATCTTTCAGGTAGAAACTGTAAGATAAATATTAAAATGAGATCCTTAATATAAATTATCCTATTGTTATAATAGTGTAGAAAAAGTAAAGTGATGGAATAAATTAATCCTTACTCTCGCGAAAGACTGTAAACAAATAGAATTGTAACTTTACTCTTGTATGTTTAGTTCCTTAGCATCATTGGTTAGATTAAATAATTCTTCCTTTTTTAAATAGAAATAGAAAGAAATGATCTGGCAGAGGAAAGAACAGCCTTCCTTTCAATCCTAGACTCACAAATAAAAGATTATCAACAAGTTAGAAAACTAGAAAATATTGGTGAGTATCAAATCATGTAGAAAGAATTATATAATATTTAAATCATTATTAACACAAATGTTATTTATATTTAATTTCAAGATTTATAAGACTGTTCAAGTCAGACTTTGAATTGTGTACAACATAAACACAATAAATAAACAAGAATTAAAAACAAGGAAAATGTTGATAACAATAAAAAATGGGTATAAAAAGAAAAATTAGAGTAAACCAGATGCTTGCTTGCTGTGTCTGTCTGTCTGTCTATCTATCTAGTACATAGCTATATATTAGTTATGAGTGATTCAACACAGAATAAGATAAAAACATTAATACCACAAACTATAATGCTTCAGAAGTTAAGTGAGCTCTGATTTATCAGCAGAGCCAGGGGTAGGATTCAAATTTTTTAACAACTGGTTCTGTGGGCGTAACTTAGTTGGTAGGTGTGGCCAACTCAATATCACTCACACGCATCTCCTCGCCTGGCCTCTCATGACTGTGGGGATGCTGCAACAGTCATAAGTGTGAAAAATGGTCATAAGTAACTTTTTTCAGTGCCATTGTAACTTTGAATGGTCACTCCACACAAGCAAAGTACCAGCAAAGGAGGGAAAAATAACTCTAGAGAAGTTCTTGAGACAGGAAGTCTAGTCCTGCCAAGAATGTAATAAGGGTTAATGGAGAGGCAGTTTCTGTAAGCAACCCCAGAATGTTTCCTTCCTGCCTTCCTTACAGGATTAGGCCAGTAATTTCTTCTAACAACCAATTCTCCGAACTGCTTAGAATATTAACAACCAGTTCTAGCGAATAGGTGCAAACCTAGGTAGAATCCCACCCCTGAGTAGAGCATGTATTTTGCATATAAAATCATTGACATTTTTGTCAGGATAGGGAGTTTTATAGGCAGATTTATTTTATGTTTATTTTTAGAAACAGAAATTAGGAAGCTTTCAGAAGAAAGAACCCAGTTACGTGCAAGTGTGGAATTAAATATGAAAGATTTGGAACGAGCCCAAGCTCTTGCATCTTCCCAGCCATCAGAAATTAATGGTAAGTGCCAAAAGGGCTTTTTGGGTAAATGGGAAATGATCCAAATTATTTTTCACAGAAACTTAGTGGATACATATTTATTGGTCTTCTAATCCTAATCATGCTTTGTTTTCTGGTCGTCTGCCAGACTACGTTTGAAACAGCATTAAGTTTGATATTTGGGGAAGTTTTTAGTTAAAATGTTTTTTTTAATAAAAAGTTTTATTGTTTTTAAGACAAACATAGACAAATACAACATAAAAACATCAAGCCATCTTCCATATATGTACATACAGTGTGTTGGTTGGTTTACAAATTGTTTTGTGCTTCCACTTCATAGTCTTCACTTACAATTACATTGTATATGTTCTCGTATTGTCAATCAAATATTCCTAAATACATTAATATCATTGTTAATCAATCATTTGACTATAGTATTATTCATTCATGTTTTACAAGATAATCCATATTTTACTTAATTTGTTTTATAACAGTTCATATTATTATCTCAAATCTATCCTATAATCATTTTGTAGATATGATAAAAATAATACATCTTTATTATAATAATACATCTTCATTATGTTCTAAAAATCTACATATTTCATTACCATGTTTTATTGTCTAACCATTGATCGAATAATCCCAAATCTTATAAAAGTGTTTCATTTCAGCACATTCCAATATTTTCTTAATAACTTCCTCCTAACTTTATCCCAATCTTGTTTATCTTCTTCTTCAATTTTTTGGAGTCTTTCATCATACTTCATCATCATTTGTTGAATATTCTCTACCTTTTCATCAGTTTTTTTCTATTCTCTTTTCAATATTCTCTGTTCTTGCTTGTATGCTTTGAATTCCTTGCATTATCATCTGCAGTGTCACCTTTTCCTGTTCTTTTTCTTGTTGTAACATCATCTGTATAGAGCGTTGTCCTCCAGAGGGCGAAGAGGAAGAAGTAGGAATTGAAGAACCAGCCACTGTTAGTTTCCTACTCATTTCTGACGAATCAAAATCTTCAGGTTCTTCTAAACCTTAATCCACTCGTGAAATAACCAATTGTAATTCCAAGTAAAAATAGTGGAAAAAAGAAGCAAAATTTTAAAAAAATTCTTCGGGTTCTTGTATACCTTAATCCAATTGATTGGTTAAATAGCAGTAAAAACTCAAAAAAGGAAGAAAAGACCATAAACAGAAAAAGAGAAAAATCGTTAAATCTTGTAGATGGCAGAAAAATAAAAAGTAAAAAGTAAAGAAGAAGAAAAAAGAATTTTTTCAGGTTCTTCAACACTTTAATCCAATTAAAAAAGTTTCAGGTATGAAAAGGTATACAAAAAAAAGAAGCCACAAAAGAAAAACCAATATGGAAAATAAATAAAAAATGCAGGAGAGAGAGAGAGAGAGAAAAAGAAAAAAGACTACTCCCTTTAAAAAAAAGAAAACATTAATACTAAGACTTGTCGTTTAAAATGAAATGCAAAAGTAGAAATTCAGCTCCAAAAGCAAAAAGAAGGACAAAAGCAAGTTCCAAAAGTCCAAAGATCCAAATGACTATTACAAATAATAAGCTGATAAGGAGGGGGTTTGTTAAAGTAAGGAATAGCCCAGCTTAAAAAAGAGAAAAAGAACACACTGCACCTATTTAGTTACCCAAGGCTTTTGTTAAATTTTATAACTCTCTTGAGTCTTATCATCTTGTTGCTGTAAACTTCAACACCAAACTGCAGCTACTGATAGAAACCCAGAAGAGCACCTGCAATAATACTCTCCCATGCTCTTCCCTCTATCTTATCAGACAGGCTCAAAGTCCTTGAAAAGAAGTCTCAGTTCTTTCTCAGCTTTGTCTGGTCGAGAGAAAAAAAAAGAGAAACAATATTTCTAAGCCTCTAGTTAGCAGTGTTGCAAAGTTTCCTCTGTTTTCACTTTCCTCCTCCTTTTCCAAACAAAATATAATAAAAATTAATTAAAAAGGAAGAATGATTTAGGAAGAAAAGCTAAAAGGGAATCTCTAGCCTAAAATATTATAAAGACAAAAAGTAGAAGAGACAAAAAAGAAAAAATAAGGTAGAAAAAAAAGATCAGTCCAGTTCAAAGTAAAAAATCATATATGAAGAGTCCAGCAAAAAAAGGGAAAAAATTAATTTGACTTCCTGTTTAAAATCGCTGCTTAATCACTTCTGTCTAAGATTTTACAGATTCTTTCTTTTCCTTAGGGTGTCCTTTCAAATCTTAAAGTAAAGAAAAAATTCTCACCAAACCGGCACACTTTCTCTTTCTATTCTTTTCCGTTTCGGAGCTGTCCCAACTTCAGCAGCTTTAATGGCTGCCTCTATGCCGCTGGCAAAAAGAGCTTCTCCTGAATCTACCAGGGACTTTGCGGTATCCCTGGGATTGACAGGATGTGCTCTTTACATTCACCATGTCTTTGGGATGGTTTAGATCCGTTTGGACCATCCAGGAGCAAAGATATTGGTGGCGATCTTAGACCTTCAAGATCGCACACTGTATCGTTGAGACGCCAGCTCTGCCCTCCTGTTTTTAGTTAAAATGTTAAGGAAATTTTTTTATTAAGAATAAAACAGGGCTGTTTGATCCTGGATGGATCAGAGATAATGATTGTGATGATAAATATTTCTTGGAAGTCTTTGGAAAAAATGCTCTTTAACTTATAAATTTTAGTAGAAAACTTTAATTAAAAAGTTGATGGGTCTGCAGTGGCTTTTAATAAATCCCAGAATGGCAATCAAAGGTAGAGAATAACAGTTGGACTTGATTTGCACTCTGAAGATTTGGTGCTGCCTGATGTAAAGAAAAAAGAACCTGGTTTGAGAATTGAAGACTTGGTGGAAAAAGTTGAAAGAGGAATAAACAAGAAATTAAGATGTGAAATTGATGAATGATGAACTAGACATTGTTTATTGAAATATAGTACTCAATTTAATGGATTTTTTTGGCTTAATTTTCATATTAAAAGCTTTAACACTTGAATGATTTATAGTATGTTTTCTCTTTTTATAGAGAACAGAGTAAAAGAACTGGAAAAACAAGGAGCATTATTAGTTGATAATTTGGAGGCAAATCAACAAGAACTTGAAAGTGCTAGATTCCTTGAAGGTACTTTAGCACAAGAAAATAAGTGTGATATATGCAAAACATAAATTTTGATAGGTTCTTACAGGCAAAGAATCTGATGTGATCTATTCTATTTAACTAGAATCTGATGTGATCTATTCTGGTACGTTAACTCTGAACTAGAAAAGAATTAATGTGGTTTCCATCTTTAAAAGAAAGGGGGGATAAAAGAAAGAAATGATAACAGCCTAATAACAAAATCTGGTTCGATCTAGGAAAAGACAGTGTCTCTTTTTCTTTCCTCAGTAATAATTTTATTTTTAAAATAAAAGATTAGTAGCATAGAATTAAACAGCAATATATGTACATTTCCCTCCTCAGACTTTTAAAGTATTTCTCATTTTGCAGAGAAGAAGATTGATAAACTGGCAAAACAGAGCCTATCTTTGCTTGCAATTTTGAAATCAAATATAAAGGAGCTAGAAGAAGCTGAGACTCTTGTAGCTACCCAACCAAGCATTACTGCTGGTAAGTACATTCTCTAGATAAGAATAATTATAAATGTAAGACCAGTAGAAATGAAAGCCAAGATATGAAGTGCAAATAAAAGATTAAGTGATGTCAGCATGGCTGCCTTTATTCTCAGTAGTTTTTTCCCCCCTGTGAGACTGGTCTATCAGTGCAACTGGGTCCACCTAAATATGGAATAGAGCATACTACTTCAGTTTTTGCCTTTCAGCCCCAATCCAGGAGCTTTCCCAGGCAGTTGCTTTCATGACAAACTATTTTTGTGTTGAATTTATATTTACCCACAAAGAAATAAAGTGGAAGCAGTATGCTCCATCCAGTGGTGGGATTCAATTTTTTTTTTTAAACAAGTTTTATTGATTTTTCAAAAACACACAAATCATCATTAACCATTACATGCTTAAACCTTTTTCCATTATAAATTTAACAAGTCAGATAAAACCTTATTTTATACACTATAATTCTGTTTTAAACCATTTCCATATAAACATACAAAAACCTCTTATCCAATTTCTCTTTACTTCTCTTTACTCTTATTCAATTTCATTATCATTATTTCATCTATTTCTTTCTGACTTAGTTACCATTATTCTCATTCTATATTTCTGCAAGGTTTTATTAATTCTCCCCCCAAAAAAACATATACACACAACACACAAAACATAAAAAAAAAATCTTTTTGGAAAGTAACTTAGCCCCAGGTATCTCTCTCTTCATGGACTTCAGTTATATTCATGCTCATCTTACATGTCATTACTTATTTTATTTACCATTCTGAATCTTCTATATTAACTTCTCCACACATTTCACTCTTCTTAATTCTATCTTAATTAATCATCTTAATTTGAGTCATTATATTTGTATCTTTTGTCCATTCTTTATTGTCCCTTTGTCTCGTTCCTTATTAAAAAAAAAAAAAGAATTTCTCCTGAAATCACTAATCAGAGTATGATGCCTTTCTATCTCCCCCATAAATTAATCAAATTAACATTTAAAATAACACCCAATACCCAATCCGATTCTGCTTGGTACGTTCTATCTAAATAGTACATCCAAAATAATTAAATACATAGTTAAACAATAGATCTAAATATTGCATCTTATAACATTCCCATTGCCTTTTCCAAAAAACAAATACTATAATAAAAATTTTATAATAACATCAATACCATAATCTTATTAAACTCTTTAATTAAAACTCAATATTCTAAGCCTACCCTCATATTATTAAATTTTAAAACCAATCATTATTAAACATTTCAACATTTTAATCTGTTATCAACTCTTAAACCATTTAAGTTTTCTATTTCTAATACAATGCTACAATATCATCTTATGTACCTTGCAAAATCTTTTTTGAAGAAATTATAATTTACCCTTTATCCCTAAAAAAGATTCCTTTTTTCCCATCTAGTTTCAAAACTTTGTAGCTTTTCTCCACCTTTTCCCTTCCTTTCTTCTCCCAACAAACCTTTCTACCCCCCTTCTTCTAGCCTCTGCCTTACTGGCTTCCCTTCTCTGTCGTGTTCCTTTTCCCTTTTGTTTTCTATCATTATATTGATTTTTCACCTTATTTTTCCCTTTCTTAAGTGTTTTTTTTAAATCTTAAGTCCTTTATTTCTCTTCCTTTCCCTCTTCCTTCTTTCTTGGTCGAATTCTGAGATTCATTAAAAATGGCTTCCTCTCCTTCTTCTTCTTCTGCTGTCTTCATCCGTTGTAATGTTTGTTGATAGTTAATAAGCGCCATTTCTAAAAAAAGGAAGGCTTCTTTCAAACCATCTTTACCATTTTTTTTGCTTGCTCATATTCTTTTCTCAGTTCCTCAACAGAAAAAGCCATTATAAATCTTTTCTTTTCTTTTCCCCCTCTTTCTTCTTACAACAACCAGAATATTCCAAAAAAAATAAAACAGTCCCAAAGTTATCAATCAGTCCAAACCAAGGCAGAGTTCTCACTTTCTCCTCCTGGGGTAGTATCAATCAGAAAAAAAGAAAGTCCAAATCTGTTTCTTAAAGTCTTATTGCAATATATTTCAGTCTTCAAATCCTTAAGGCATCTCCTCCAACAAAGTCTTAGCATACGAATATTTTTTTTTTAGTCCTCTCCCTTCCCACTCATCACTTAAATCCAGTTTTTACCTAAAAAAAAATAGGTTTCTTAATATCAGCTTATTAATTCCGTAGGGAAGGAGAGTAAACTTTCCTTTCAGCACCACCAAACTGCCGCTTTTTTTCTCTTCTAGAAGGTATCATTCAGAAAGTCATAATTTTCAGGAATTTTGTTAAATATGTCTTAGAGTCCTGGGAACCAAGAAAAACTTTTTCTTTTCAAAAACTTTCTCCACTTCCTCCTGCGCATTCTTACCTGGCTGCCAGCTTCTTTGTGGCGGCTGTTGTGGACCGCCGCTGCACCGTCTTGGGAAAAGGGGGTTCTGCCGGCCGGGGAGGGGGTCTGCAACACCCCCAAACCCCTCTCCGGATCCCCCCTATCTTCAGCTGCCCCTGCAGGGCAGCCTAGCTCCGGACCCGTCCGGATCGGAGCACCAAAAGCAGCTAGCGCAGCAGGGATCGCGCAGCTTCGCGAATCCCTGCCGCTCGCGAAGCCGACAAACCGGAAGTCCGATTCAATTTTTTTTGATACTGGTTCTGTGGGCTTGGCTTGGTGGGCATGGCATGGCTTGGTGGGAATGATACTGGTGGACGTGGCAGCGGAATGATACTGTTAAACCTCCATTTCCACCCCACTCCTGGGGGAAGGTTACTGCAAAATCCCCATTCCCTTCCCACCCCACTAACCTGTTTTCCAGTTCCGTTCTCCTATGCACGGCAACAAAAGAAGACCCAGCCAATCAGCTGGGACTAGGGAGGCAGAGAATAGATGGGGGTGGAGTCAGTCAGAGGTGGTTTTTGCTGGTTCTCCAAACTACTCAAAATTTCCGCTACTGGTTCTACAGAACTGGTCAGAACCTGCTGAATACCACCTCTGGTTCCATCCCATATTTGGGTGGACCAGGTTGCCCTGATAGACCAATCTCACTGGGAAAAAACACTTAATCTGTTCCCTGATATAGCCAACAAAGTGAGTTGCTTAGAGGTTAATACATCTACCTATTGTGTAAGTAGCCTGGGTTTGAATCCCAGAAGGGTATGGTTAGCTGACGAGAGCTAAATAGCTTGAAATAGATCTATACTCTCCCTTTATTTCTTTGTCAGTAAATATAAATTCAACACTTTCTCCTCAGTGTTTTCCATTAATTCCATAGCAAGCATTCAAGGATAATCAGAAGTACTGAGGCTGGTCCATCCTATCCCCTGTTGCGATATAGATTGTATTCTTTCCAGCATGCCAAACAATTATTTGAGAAGTTTGTAGGAGGCCAGTGAAATGTTTTGCCATCACATATTCAAACAGTGAGTCAATGCACTCATTCTAGAAGCCCAGAGCTGGGAGATATGGGGGTGCTATGCAAACTGCTTCCACTATTCTGTTGAAATCATTTTTTTTATAATATGTCTGATATGCCAAGGAGGGGGAAGGGGAAGGAGCAAAAAAAAAAACCAAAAAAAACCCAAGTAATTCTGTAGATAATCTCTCTTTTACCTGACCTTTTCCCACAGTTGGTGTGATCACATGCTTTCAATGTGTAGAAGAGCAAACAGCTTACTCTCTTGAAATTTCTTCTTCTTCGGTCTCTCTTTGTTATGTAGATGGTGGGTGTGGGATCAGGCAAGGAGAGATTAATGCATAAATTGGTATGATGTGATATAGCTAGGAGATCACTGGATTACTAGGATTAACTGACTACCTTATTTTCAAGGCTCCAGGTGTTTGTGACACTGCAACTATCATAAATATGAACCAGTTGCCAAGAATCTGAATTTTGATCACGTAACCATGGAGATTCTGAAATGGTTGTGTAAAACAGTCATGTCACTTTTTTCAGTGTCATTGTAACTTTGAACGGTCACTAAATGAACTGTTGTAAATCAAGGACTACCTGTACCATCTTTAGAAGTAACCTATTGTTTCTCTTATTCTTTTATTTTTCTTATATGTACCCTTTTCATGTATTCACAACTATGTATACACTTATACTTATTATCTTGTAAACAATTGGCAAATCAAATAAATAAATAAATAAATAAAATAAAACCTGAAGATTATTGATAATTCTCAGCTGTAAATACTGAGCAACATAGCCTGCTTGGTTGAGATCTTGACACCAAGCTATTTCTACTACTAAAGCACTTATAAAAGAGGATTTTGACATTCACAGCACTGGATAGAAGCATTTTTGGCTAAAAAAAAAATCTCCCACAAAGCTTTCACTGCATCTTGAAAAAGCCACCTGGAGTTGACTAGCCTTATGTGATATGGACAACATTGAATCCAGTTCACACTGGTCATGGTAGATGCACATATGACTTCTATAAGTGGGGCAAATCATCAAATTGTGATTAAGGAGCTGATAAATGAAATATTCAATACATAGTAAGGAATCAAGATTTCATTGATTTTCTTGCTGCAACAAATGAAGTAAAATTATATTTGCAACTTACATATATGTTTGTGTATCCTCTTTACTGAAATATGATATATGTCATACAATAAACAAATAAAGAGATATTGATTATAGAAGTCAATTACTTTTTTCCTGGCAGAGAGATTGAAGTGATTTCAAAAGAGTACTGGAAGCTTTTTGTGTAACATACCTATAGTTCCTATCCCTGGACTGCAGCTGCAGCATAATTGTATTGCTTTTTATGTGTACAAAACAAGAAGCTGTCACTTAAGCATTTTTAAGGATGGAGGAATGGTTAGGATGCAAAGAAAAATGGAAGATGGGAACTGAGGCAGTATTGTCTCTTTCTAGCCAGAGCACGGTTGTCATCATGTGATTTCCCACATAGCAACTACTTCACTTAGTGGCAGAGTTGCCAGTACCAATTAGGGTTTCTAAGTAAGGACAACCTTTATCTTTATTACACAGTATTCAGGTAATATATTTTTAAATAAATTATTGGGTACATAACAATTCTATTTAATTCAAAATTAATATTTTCCAACACAATGAATGCAAAATGTAGGAGAAAGTATCTGTTTTCACAGATTTAAAAATAAAAGAATTAACTGAATTAAGAAATGAAGTGGCTGAGCATTTAGAGCAAAATCTGCAGAATATCCAAAGAGCATGGTCTCACGCTCCAGGACTTACAATTGAAAGCAGACTTCAAGGTGAGTGTATCAGATGTATACAAAGAGCTATTGCCATCAGATTTCTTTCTGAGAACAATGAAAAATTCACAAATATAACTTTAAAACTGTATAATCAAAAAGTTATAAATTCAGGGAAATAAATATATGCAATTAATTTACCATTTTCTTATTAAGAAAGCCCAGTCTTTGGAGTTTAGAAATTGAAATTGTCATACTACTCAACAGTACAAGCGTTTATGCCATCTTTGGAATGATGATAATTTGGATACTTTGGAACAGCAACTTCTGCACATTTAACCAAAGCAATTGCCCTCCTCTCTTGAAAATACTTTTTTTACATTTTGAATGGGCTATGTGGACAGATCCTAAGATTATTATAATCAGTTATTGTTCTGATTTGGAATGTACTTATTCTATTTCAGTTGTCACAGTTTGCTCTTAGTGTATTTCAATGCCACCTTATCTTTCTTGCTATTTCTCTTATTAAACCAAAATTAACCCTTCATATAGTTGAAAGTGTGAAGGGAGTACTAATCTTCAAAATGTCAAATTAAATCAACTTGATTTTAAGACCCTGCATACTTTTGGGTTGCTCTGATGCTCAATTCTATTTTTTGGAATTGTATTTTAGTATCTTGAATCTTTGGATAGATTCAATCATTTTTTTTTTGTTAAAAAATTGGATCTTTAAAGAATACAGTTATATTGAGGTTTATTTAACTAACTGGAAATAATTTTGTTGTAGTGACATTTTTTATCTTAATATTTGATTGCCATCTTTGAAAAAACAACCATAACTATCATATTGGCATTCTAGTGAACCATTTTTAATTTCTAACAGTCCATGAGCTACATGTAAGACTTACAGTTGAAAAAGGGATTCATTGTAACAAAAGTAATTTTTCATAAAAAATATAGCATTAGATATCTCATTTTTCTACCATACAATATACCATTTGTCTAAAATTGTATACGGTTTCCTGCCTGAGCAGGAGGTTGGACAATAAGACCTCCACGGTCCCTTCCAACTCTTGTTATTCTGTTACCTCTTGGGATAGTCCTTCAATAGAAAAATGTAAGCAAGGCTATTTACTTTGATAGATGAACTTTACTTTGGTAGATGGTCATTCTGATACTTTAGGCAGTCTCTGCTTATTAATAGATCAGGTTATAAGCTGATCTTCTCTAAAAGCAAGGTTCAATTACTATTATTTTTTAACTATACAATAAATAAATTATTCAACTAACCAACCAATCTATCTATCAATTCTTAACTGCTGAATACGATGGCTCAGCGGTTAAAGACACTGAACTAGTCAACTGACAGTCTGGGTTAGAACCTGAGCACCATGCAATGGAGTGAGCTCTCGTTCCTGCCCCAGCTTCTGCTCACCTAGCAGTTTGAAAGCATGGAAATGTGAGTAGATTAATAGATAACATTTTGGTGGGAAGGTAACACCTTTGGCTTATAACCATGCTGGCCACATGACCACAGAAAGTGAGTTTTGACAATACTGGCTCCCTCGGCTAAAAAATAGAAATGAGCACCACACCCTAGAGTCAGACTAGACAGGGAAACACTTATCTTTTATCTTTGTTTCATTTGCCCTACAATATTCCTTTTTTAATTTTTCATTTAAGTCTTTCCTAATGCCAGCAAAATACTTAAATTTACATTTCAGTTTTAGTTCAATAAAAAGAAAGCTGGAAAAGAACTTGTGTGACCAGTTTTGTATAATATAAATCAGAGAAGAAAGTAAAAAAACGTTCTTTCCTACTTGTTTGGAGGAAGAGAAGGGGCAAGGGAAACAATTACAGTAACTCTGAAGATCATTCCAGGCAGGTCAGAATCTTAAAATAAATATCCTAGTGCTTCTGCTATTGCTATTTGCAGAAAAGGAATTAGAGGAATTACATGAACTATCTGAACTGAAGCAGCAGTTACTGGAATCACTGGAATCTAATCAGAAAGAGCTACAAGAAATTCAAGAACTTGCAGCTGCCCAAGCTTGCAGTGTCACTGGTATGTGTGCTGTGGGTTTTTTTAATATTTAAATACAAATCAGAGGTGGTATTCAGCAGGTTCTGACCAGTTCTGGAGAACTGATAGTGGAAATTTTCAGTAGTTCGGAGAACCAGTGGTAACCTTCCCACAGGAGTGAGGAGGGAATGGAGATTTTACAGTATCCTTTCCCTACCACACCCATCAAGCCACACCCACCAAGCCATGCCATGCCCACAGAACCGGTAGTAAAAAAAATCTTGAATCCCACCACTGATACAAATATGTATTTGGAATCAATTATGCTGGCTTTCTTAGCACACCAGTGCTAAGTAATAAAGTAAGTTACATTCCTGAGAATATAGGCAGAAGCCCCATCTTACCAAAACCATTTAATAATGTTAATATCCATTCTGTAATATAGGGAATGCTCTCTTTAATCTTGTGAATGGGGGAGGTGTGAATTTATTCCAGTTGGAAGTGACATCAGAAATTCTACACACATATTAATCATGGAGCCAGTATTAAAGATGAATATGTGCAACATATTGTAACTATTTTTATGTTAAGTAATGTTTTATTATGGATTTTTTATAGAGCATATGTTACAGGAATTAACTGAGCAAAGAAGACATTTGACCATAGATCTGGAGGCAACACTAGATGGCATACAAGATATATGTCATCGACCTGCAGAAAGAAGTACATTTATACAACCTTCTGGTAAGTAGAGAAGTAAAAGTGTTAGAAATAGTCAAGCCATTTCTGTTCCCTAAGTGCCTTAGATACTCAAATTAAGCATGTTCATCTTAAAATGGACTTCTCATAGTCACAGTAAGCAAGGAGCCAGTAGTCAAGGAGTTTTATTTGTTTCTGCAAGCAATTTAAGTGGGGAATAAGAACATAATACTCAAAATTATATTAAGAAAATTTCTGTTTGCAGAAAAGGAAATGCATGATTTACACAAACTATCTGAAAAGAAGGGACAGTTACTTGAAACTTTGGAGTCTAATTGGAGAGAGCTAGAAGAAATTCAGGAACTTGCAGCTATTCAACCAAGCGATATCACTGGTATTTGAGCTATGGAATCATATATTTAATCAAAGATGTGTTTAATGTTTTAGTAGGAAACATTTTCAACTGCAAAATATTGATTATATTGGCATTATAAAAATCAGAGTTTGGATCAGGGAATTTTTCATTTGAATTCAAGTCAGCTTTATTTCTGGTTATGTATTATTTTAAGGGGAGAGATGCATAGAAACATATCCTCAGTTCTGGCATTCTCAGCATAACTGAATTATGATCCCATAATCAAGTTGTATTATAATCCTGAGATTATGGGAAGAAGCAATATCTTTTCAAAACCTTTAAAAATTTTAATATTCATTTTGATATGTATGAAATGTTGCACAATTTAATCTTTTGTGAGTGGATGGAGATTTTGGGGAGACAGGATTCATTCCACTGGGGGAAGTGATATCAGAAATATTAGATACAAGTTCATTATCCTTTTGAAATCTAGATAATAATAATAATGGTCTTAATTATATATATAATTATTAATTTTTAGCACATAAGCTGCAGGACTTAACTAAGCAAAGAAAACACATGACCACAGAATTGGAAGCAACTCTAGATGGTATTCAAAATATATGTCATCAGGCTTCAGAAACCTGTACATTTATACCACCTTCTGGTAAATAAAATATTTTACTAAGAATTTTAGAAAATGATATTGTTTTCATAGTTCATATTCTAAATCTAGTAAACAATGGAATTAGTGAGCTATAAGAGCAATGACAGTTGGAATTCTTTCCATTCCATCTTTCTATTCAAAGACATTTGACATACATTCTTTTTTTAAATTATTAAATTTTATTTGTTTTAATATATTTACTGTAATGTATATTTATGAATATTTTAAGCAGAACTTGTGTCAGTACTGGACCCCATGGAACCCCTCTTTGATTTTTAGTAAAATAAGCTATGTAATCTGACAGACCATTTATTTTGTAACGGTCATTCTTTTTGATACCATTTAGCTCTGGTGAAAAGCTGTGCAAATAACTATGAATAATTTAGATATGTTTATTCATATTTTGAATTCAAAACTCACCTTAAAATATTTTAATTTTCTGTGCTTCTTTAGGAAGCATAAATGTTCAGCTTTCTTTCTGGATCAACTTATTTGCATTATCCAATATAAAAATTCTATCTCTGCTCATTTTTACATTTACACTTTGAGTTTCTCATTCTGAAATAAATTAAATGTGTGCTTCTATTGATGGGTGTTCCATTCCATAGCCTCCAATAATCAAGGAGAAAATGTTCTGCATATTGTGGGTCTTCTGGTGACTATGTTAAGAAATACTTACTATATCAACTTGTCTTCTGAAAAACTCAGATTAAGTATCTGTACCCTAAATGTCTTTTAGGTATTCACTTTTGGCACTATCAAAGAATATATATACATATATACATATACATACATACATACATACATACATACATTCGTAGATTTTCTACGAAAGGGGGTTGGCTGTGTTCTGATTGCCTGGGGGTGTGTTCTGTTCAGGTGGGGGCGATCCTGTTGTTTGGCTTCGCGTTCGTGGTATCACAGGATCACAACTCACCAGCTCAAATCCCCTGACAACTAAGACTAACCTGAACACAGCCAAGCCCCTAACCAGACGGACACAATACAGAAGCCTGATGATGGCAGATGAGATTCTGCCGAAACGTTGCTACAACTTTAAAAGCCACAACTACAATGACGTGGGAAAATACCCGAACAAAGCTGAATACCATATATATATATATATATGAGAAGCACAGAGCGGAAGACACAAGCCTGAAGATGATGAATGAGACTTCATCGAAACGTTGCCTAGATACTTCCAATCTTACGCGGGAGAAAACCCGAATAA